GCGCGGGCGCCGCCGGCAGCCCCCCGCCCGCCCTCGAGTGGCTTGGTAGGTCTGGGGGTGGGGTGGGGGACACCGGAGACAGCCTTGGGGACACAGTGACCCGGGGTGACCCCACGGTGTGTGTGTTTCCCCCCCCCAGGCACGCTGCCCCCACGGGCCGTGGTGCAGGGGGACACGCTGCGGTTCGGGGCCGTCGAGCCCGGGGACGAGGGACACTACGAGTGCCGGGCGCGCAGCAGCGCTGGGCAGCACACAGCCAGGGCCTTCCTCCACGTGCAGGGTGAGCCTCCTCCCACTTCCTGGTCAGCCCCGTCACCCCCGTGGTCCTCCATGCCCATCCCCATCATCTCAGTCATCCCTGTTGTCCCTGTGGGCCCCATTGTCCATCCCCATCATCTCTGCTCCTTTCATCTCCATCATCCCTGTCATCCCCGTGGTGCCCATTCTCCATCCCCATCATTCCCGTTTCCATCATCTCCATCATCATCATCCCAGTCCCCATCCCTGTCCCGTTGTCCATCCCTGTCCCCATCATCTCCATCATCCTGGTCATCCTCATTGTCCCCATGGTCTCTGTTGTCCTACTTGTCTGTCCCCATCATGTCTATCATCTCTGTCATCCCTGTCATCCCCATGGTCCCCATTGTCCATCCCCATCACCTCCATCATCATGGTCATCCCTGTGCTCATTCTCCATCCCCATCATCTCTGTCCCCACCATCTCCATCTCCATCATCCCTATTGTCCCCACAGTCCCCATCGTTTATCCCCATCATCCCATTGTCCCCATCATCCCCTTCATCCCTGTCACCCTGGTTGTCTCCAACACTCCCACCATCCCTGTCACCCCCATTGTCCCAATCATCCTTCATTGTCCCCATCTCCCCCATTGTCTGCATCATTCTCATCATCACTAGTGTTCCCATCTTCTGCATTGTCCTCATTGTCCCTATCATCCTCCTCTCCATTTCCCCTCTAACCCCATCACCCCACTTATCTGCACTGTCCCATCATCCCCACCATCCCCATCATCCTTATCACTCCCATCATCCCCATCACCTCCGTTGTCCCCATTGTCTGCATTGTCCCCATTGTCCTCAACATCCCCATCACCTCCATCATCTCTCTTTTCCCCATCATCCCCATGTCCCCCATATCCCCCTGACACCACGCTGTCCCCGCAGCCCCTGGTGCCCCACGGGTGCAGGTGAGCCCAGAGAGGACAGAGGTGACAGAGGGCTCCACGTTGCGGCTCTACTGCCGTGTCTCAGGGTCACCCCCTGCTACCCTCACCTGGGAGAAGCAGGGGGGGACCCTACCACCCCAGGTGAGTCAGGGAGGGTGGCCAGCACCCATGGGTGCTGCCTTGGGGGGGCACAGTGGGCGCCCCTGACACCCTCCCTGGTGCTCAGGCCCGCACAGAGGACGGTGACATTGCCACGCTGCTGCTCCCCGCTGTCACCGCGGCCGACGCCGGCGTCTACCTCTGCGTGGGCCCCAGCGCCACCGGCACGGCCCGCGCCGCCATCCAGGTGGCCGTGGTGGCAGGTGAGGCGGGTAGGGGACACCGTTGGGGTGTGGGGACAGTTTCAGGGGAGGCCACAACCCCACCTGTGCGTGTTCCCCCCTCGTTTCACCCCCCCACAGGGTCAGCGCCACCCGTGCGCATCGAGTCCTCGTCCCCGTCTGTCCCCGAGGGACAGACCCTGGACCTCAACTGCCTGGTGGCAGGATCAGGCCCTGCCACTGTCACCTGGTACAAGCGTGGTGGCTCCCTGCCCGCCGGCCACCAGGTAGGGTGCAGAGGGGAGTGTCACCCCAAATCCTGCCCTGTCCCCTGCTGTGTGACACCCACGTGTGTCCCCCCAAATTCTGCCCTGTCCCCTGCCACGTGACACCCACGTCTGTCCCCAACGCCAGGTTTTGGGGTCCCGGCTCCGTGTCCCCCACGTCACAGCGGCTGATTCAGGGGAGTACGTGTGCCGGGTGACATCAGGGACCAGTGTACGGGAGGCCTCTGTCATTGTCACCGTCGTGGCTGCAGCTGGATCATCCTATGGTGAGACCACGGTGGCAGCAGGGCAGGGATGTGCTGGTCCCAGACAGGTGGTCACAGATCTGTCCTCTCCCCTCCAGGGCCACCAGCTTCAGGTGTCCCTGTTCGCATTGAGGCATCCTCATCCACCGTGGCTGAGGGACAGAGTGTGGACCTCAACTGCGTGGTAGCCGGGCAGGGACAGGCCACTGTCACCTGGTACAAGCGTGGGGGGGCCCTGCCCGCCAAGCACCAGGTAGGGGACATTGGAGGAGACGTCACCAAGGGGGTGGTACGGGTTGATGCACATCTCTGTGCAAGCTCAGGTGGCCCCATGTAAATTCAGGTGGCCCCACACAAGCTCGGGTGGCCCATGCAAGCCCAACTGGCACTTTTGCAAGCCCAAGTGGCTCCACACAAGCCCAGGTGGCACTTGAGGAAAATTCAGCGTTCCGGTGCCAGCCCAGTGGCCCCCATACAAGCCCAGCTGGCCCCGTGCAAGCCCCAGCAGCCCCATGGAAGCCCAAAGGGCCCTGGTGACCCCCGTGTCCCCTCCCGCAGGTGTCCGGCTCCCGGCTGCGCCTGCTGCAGGTTCCGACTCGGGCGAGTACGTGTGCGGGGTGACCAGCGGGGCCACCACCAGGGAGTCTGCTGTCATGGTGACAATCCAGCCCAGCGGGGCCGGCGCCTACCGTGAGTGGGGACTGGGAGGGGACAGTCCCAGAGGAGGGTCCCTCTGTGCCACCGCATGGAGCCGTGTCTCATGCCTGTGCCCGGGGCTCTGCCCTGGTCACTGGTGTCACCCTCTTATCTCGGTCCCCAGCCCCGGGTGGCACAACCCCCCTGCGCATCGAGTCCCCGTCCTCTGCTGTGACTGAGGGACAGACCCTGGACCTCAACTGTGTCATCTCCAGCCCTGCACAGGCCACTGTCACCTGGTACAAGCGCGGGGGGTCCCTGCCTGCCAAGCACCAGGTAGGGGACAGCAAGGGGGTTGTACCCAAGGGGGATGTTTGGGGTTGATGCACAGCTCCGTGCAAGCTCTGGTGGCCCCATTCAAGCTCAAGTAGCTCATGCAAGTTCAGGTGTCCCCATGCAAACCCTGGTGGCCCTATGCAAGCCCAAGTAGCCCGTGCCATCCCAGGTGGCCAGTGCAAGCCCAGTTGCCCCCATGCAAGGTCAGGTGGCCCCATGCAAGCTCTGGTGGCCCCATTCAAGCCTAAGTAGCCCATGCAAGCCCAGGTGGCCTGCGCAAGCCCTGGTGGTCCATTCACACTCTGGTGGCCCAAGGCAAGCCTGGAGGAGTCCATGCAAGCCAGGATGACCCCATGCAAACCCAGGTGGCCATGCTAGTCAAGGTGACTCCACACATGGCCAAGTGGCCTGTGCAAGCCCAGGTGCCCCATGCAAGCTCAGGTGACCCCATGGAAGCCAAAGTGGCCTCATGTAAGCCCAGCTGGCCCTGTGCAAGCCCCAGCAGCCCCATGGAAGCCCAAAGGGCCCTGGTGACCCCCGTGTCCCCTCCCGCAGGTGTCCGGCTCCCGGCTGCGCCTGCTGCAGGTGACAGCGGCCGACTCGGGCGAGTACGTGTGCCGGGTGACCAGCGGGGCCACCACCAGGGAAACCTCCATCATGGTGACAATCCAGCCCAGCGGGGCCGGCGCCTACCGTGAGTGGGGACTGGGAGTGGACAGGGGACATTACTCAGGGGTGTCCTTGAGCCTGGCATGATTCATCCTCTGGAGAAGCCATGGGTGTGTGTGCCCATCCCAGCTTCCCAGGTTCCTGGTGTCCCTAAGAGGGCTGACATGTTGGTGACCATGGTCTCTAACCTGTCTTGCTCCCCAGCCTCGGGTGGCACGACCCCCCTGCGCATCGAGACCTCGTCCCCATCATCGCCCGTGGCTGAGGGACAGACCCTGGACCTCAACTGTGTCATTGCCAGCCCCACACAGGCCACTGTCACCTGGTACAAGCGCGGGGGGTCCCTGCCTGCCAAGCACCAGGTAGGGGACAGCAAGGGGGATGTCCCTAAGGGGGGTGGTTGGGGTTGACCCATGGCTCTGTGCAAGCCCAGGTAACCTAGTTGATTCCCATGCAAGCCCAGTTGGCTCCATGCAAACCCTGGTGGCCCATGCAAAACCAGTGACCCCATGGAAGCTAAGGTGGCTCATGCAAGTCCAGCTAGCCCCAAGCAAGCACTGGTGGCCCCGTGGAAGCTCCAGTGGCCCTGGTGACCCCCGTGTCCCCTCCTGCAGGTGTCCGGCTCCCGGCTGCGCCTGCTGCAGGTGACAGCGGCCGACTCGGGCGAGTACGTGTGCCGGGTGACCAGGGGGCGCACCCCCCGGCAAATTTTTTCCGCCACAGGGGGCCCAGCACCTACCGTGAGTGGGGACTGGGAGGGGACAGGGGACCATGCCACAGTGACCTTGGGGTGACCCTGCCATCTCTGTCCCCAGCAGCTGGTGTCACCCCCCCGGTGCGCATCGAGTCCTCGTCCTCCTCTGTGGCTGAGGGACAGAGCCTGGACCTCAACTGCCTGGTGGCCGGGCAGGGACAGGCCACTGTCACCTGGTACAAGCGTGGGGGGGCCCTGCCCGCCAAGCACCAGGTAAGGGACACTGGAGGAGCATTTTGAGAGAATAAAGGGGGTTTTGGGGTCCCACGAGGTTTGTGACCCCTTGTCACCTGTGTCATCCCCCCCCCAGGTATCGGGCACCCGCCTACGCATCCCCCAGGTGACAGCAGCTGACTCAGGGGAGTACGTGTGCCGGGTGACATCGGGCGGTGTCACCCATGAGACATCCCTCATTGTCACCATCCAGACCGGCAGTGGCTCCTCTTATGGTACTAGAGACAGGTGGGAGGTGACAGAGGGACAGGACAGGGACACGGTGGCTGACCCCACTGTCATCCCCAGCTGTCGGTGTCACCCCACCGGTGAGGATCGAGACCTCCTCTGCAGCTGTCACTGAGGGACAGACCCTGGACCTCAACTGCATGGTGGCAGGACAGGGCCACCCCCATGTCACCTGGTACCGGCGCGGGGGGGCTCTGCCCCCTAACAGCCAGGTAGGACACCAGGGGATGTGACATCACCCCATGGGGCACAGCCCCACCTCAAACACTTGACATGTCCCCAACTTGTCACCTCCACAGGTATCAGGCACCCGCCTGCGCCTCGCCCAGGTGTCAGTGGCTGATTCAGGGGAGTACGTGTGTCGGGTGACCCTGGGGACTGTCACACAGGAGGCTTCTGTCATTGTCACCGTGCCCAGTGGTGCTGGCACCTATTACTGTGAGTGTGAGCAAGGGAGCAGCATTTGGGGACAGTGGGGACAGGCAGGTACCACGTTGGTGACAAACGTCCCCTTTGGCTGTCCCCCCCAGCCTCTGGTGTCACCCAGCCCCTGCGCATCGAGTCCTCATCCTCGGCCATCGCCCAGGGACAGACCCTGGACCTCAACTGCCTGGGTCAGGCCCCTGCCACTGTCACCTGGTACAAGCGTGGTGGCTCCCTGTCTGCCGGCCACCAGGTAGGGAACAGAGAGGAGTGTCACCCCACAGCCCACCCCGTCCCCAGTTCTCCAGCACTCACCTGTCCTCAAATTGTCCCCACCAGGTGTCAGGCACCCGCCTGCGCATCCCCCAGGTGACAGCGGCTGATTCGGGGGAGTACGTGTGCCGGGTGACATCAGGTGGTGTCACACAGGAGACGTCCCTCATCGTCACCATCGATGATGGAGCCAACCCATCCCACGGTGAGTGCCACCCTGGGGGCAACAGGTCCCCATGGGTGCTGAGGACTGGTGGGGACATTTACGGTTTCCCACACAGCCGGTGTCACGCTGCCCATTCGCATCGAGTCCTCGGCATCCTCTGTCACCGAGGGACAGACCCTGGACCTGGACTGCCTGGTGGCCGGGCAGGGACAGGCCACCATCACCTGGTACAAGCGTGGGGGGGCACTCCCAGCCAAGCACCAGGTAGGTGGGGACACTGGTAGGGTGGGGGGACGGGGGAATGGTGGCCATGGGTGGCTGGTTGGTGCCACCACCCCGTTATTGTGTCCCCAGGTTTCAGGGTCCCGCCTGCGGCTGTCACAGCTCTCGGTGGCCGACTCAGGGGAGTACGTGTGCCGGGCAGACATGGGCAGCATGTCTCGTGAGGCCACCATTGTCGTCACTGTCACCTCCCGTGACAGCTCTAGCTACCGTAAGTGTGGTCATGGGATGAGAGACAACACCAGGGGGACATGGGTGACCTTGGTGGCTTCCCTGTCCCTTTGTCCCTGCAGGTCTGCAGAGCCCCATCATCTCCATCGACCCGCACAGCATGGTGGTGGCCCCAGGTGAAGATGCCACCTTCAAGTGCCGCGTCCACGATGGTGCCCAGCCCATCAACATCACATGGCGGATGGGACCTGGCCAACACCTCCAAGGTATGGTGGTCCCCAGGGTGGCCCTGGTGTGGTCCCCAGGATGGTTCTGGTGCTGACAGCTCCTCCTTGCCCAGATAATGTGAAGATCAGCACCAATGGCTCAGTCATCTCCATCTCTGGTGCTCATGTGGGCAACCAGGGTGCCTACCACTGCGTGGCCTCCAACCGCTTCGGCGTCGCCAGCAGCGTTGTCAACCTCCTGGTGCAAGGTGAGAGGTGGCTGGGGTGGTCCTGTCCCCATGTGCTCCAGGTGCCCTCAGGCTGGTGGTGTCCTCATCACCATCCCCATGTTGGTGTCTCCCATCTGCTCCAGATGCCTCTGGGGTGGTGGTGTCTCTGTCCCTGCCCCCATGCTGGTGTCCTCCACATGCTTCAGATATCCCTGGGGTGATGGTGTCCCCATCCCCATGTCCTCTCCATGCTTCAGGTGCTCCTGGAGTGATGGTGCCCATGTCACTATCCTGATAACCCCCAGACACCCTTGAGGTTGTGAAGTCCCCATGCCCATGCTGATGTCCTCCATGGGCTCCAGATGTCCTGGGTTGATGGTGTCCCCATCCCCATGCCAATGTCCTTAGCAGTGTTGTCCTCATCCCCATGCTGATGCCCTCCTCCTTCTCCAGGAGCACCCACGGTGTCAGTGATGCCACCAGGCCCTGTGACAGTGCAGGAGGGCAAGTCCCTCAGCGTGGAGTGCCTTGGCCGGGGCGAACCGCGCCCGCTGGTGCGCTGGAGCCGGCCGGGCTCCCGGCAGAAGTTGGAGCATCAAACTCTGCTGCACATGGACAGCCAGGCCATCCTGCAGGTGAGCGGGGCACCCTGGGGTGCCGCAGGGGGCTGCTGGGTGCCCGGTGCTCACCACCCACCCCGTGTCCCCCCGGGCTCCACCAGCTGTCACCAGCCAAGCCGGAGCACGCCGGGCCCTACGTCTGCACGGCGCACAGCGCCCTGGGCTCGGCGCAGGCGCGGGTGGACATCAGCGTGGAGGCGGCACAGCGGCACCCCGGCGCCCCCGAGGTCATCGTGCCACCTGCTGTCACCGTGGTGGCTGGGGACACTGCCACGCTGCACTGCACGGCCAGAGGTATGGTGAGGATGGTGGAAAGGGTGGCCAGGGAGGTGATTGTCCCCCTCTATTCTGCTCTGGTGAGGCCACACCTGGAGAACTGGGTACAGTATTGGAGCCTTCAGCATAGGAAACACCTGGAACTGTTGGAGAGGGTCCAGAAAAGGGCCATGAAGGTGATCAAAGAGCTGGAGCAGCTCTGCTCTGGAGACAAGCTGGGAGAGTTGGAGTGTTCAGCCTGGAGAAGAGAAGGCTCCAGGGAGACCTTAGAGCACCTTCCAGTGCCTGAAGGGGCTCCAGGAAAGCTGGGGAGGGACTTGGGACAAGGGCAGGGAATGAGAGGACAAGGGGGATGGATTAAAACTGGAATTTGGGAGATTGGGGTTGGACATTAGGAGGAAACTCTTCACCATAAGGGTGGTGAGAGCCTGGCCCAGGTTGCCCAGGGAAGCTGTGGCTGCCCCATCCCTGGCAGTGTTGAAGGGCAGGTTGGATGGGGCTTGGAGCAGCCTGGGCTGGTGGGAGGTGTCCCTGCCCATGCAGGGGGGTTGGGACTGGATGATCTTTAAGGTCCCTTCCTACCTCAACCATCCTATGATTCTAAAGGGTAGGCAGGGACACATCCTGCCCATGGCGACCCTGATGCCAAGGTGATGGCCGCTGGTGTCACCCTCAGGTGAGCCGGCACCACGGCTGGAGTGGTCAAAGCTGCGGGCACCGCTGCCCTGGCAGCACCGGGTGGAGAACGGCAGCCTGGTGATCCCGCGCGCCGCCCTGCAGGACTCGGGCCAGTACATCTGCAACGCCAGCAGCGCCGCCGGCACCGCCCAGGCCTTCGTCACCCTCCACGTGGAGAGTAAGTGGGTGATGAGGGGGAGGAGGTGGTGCTCCTAGGTCCCCTCCTGTCACCTCTGCCAGTTCCTTCTCCAGCCCACCTTCCCCAGCGCGGGGCCATCTCCATCACCCCTCCTGGTTCTGGCCAGCCCGTCCTCCTGGATCCAGCCTCACTTCATCCCACACGTGTCCTCCCCCCATCCCATGTCCATCATCCAGCCCTTCCCCTGGATGGGTCCATCCCTGTCCCAGTGCTGCACGTGCCCATCACTACTTCTGCTGTCTCCCCCACTACCCTACCCATGAATCCATCCACCTTTGGTCCATCCCAGCTCACACCCCTCTCTCCGTCTTCTCTGACATTCCTCCATCCTGTTGGATTCATCCATTATTCAACTGTCCCAGCATGTGCCCATCTGTCCATCTCCTGGAGATGACCCATCCATTGACCCATCCAGTGCCCCATTGACCCATACATTGCCCCGTTAACCCATCTGTTAACCCATCCATTGCCCCGTTGACCCATCCGTTGCCCCATTGACCCATTCAGTGCCCTGTTGACCCATCCATTGCCCCATCTAGTGTCCCCTTGACCCATCCATTGCCCCGTTGACCCATCCATTGCCCATTGACAAATCCATTGCCCTGTTGACCCATCCATCACCCCAGACCCACCCATTGCCCCATCCTGGCTGTGGCTGGGCTCTGACAGCACCACCCATCCCCCCAGCACCACCGTACGCCACCAGCCTGCCGGAGGAGAGCGTGGTGCGCGCTGGCGACGCGCTGCAGGTGCAGTGCCTGGCTCATGGCACCCCCCCGCTGCTCTACTCCTGGGACAAGGTCAATGGCAGCCTCTCGGCACGCGCCAGCCACCGCGCCAGCCTCCTGCGCATCAGCCCCGCGCTGCCCGACGATGCCGGCACCTACCGCTGCCTCGTCACCAACCGCGTGGGCACCGCTGAGACCTTTGCCCATGTGGTGGTCCACGGTGAGTCCTGGCACCCCAGGAAGGCCACGTGCCAGGGATGCCAGTGCCACCAGGTGCCATCATGGCTCTGCATCCCACCCAGGTGCCACCGTTGACCGTGGGGATGGTGGTGGTGGACCCTTGACCGTCCGGGTGACACCAGGGAGCCTGGTCAGGGGGCTGGGGGGCACAGCTGAGTTCACCTGCACCATCTCTGGGGACCCCCGGGCGCGTCTGGAGTGGCTGAAGGAGGGTGGGGAGCTGCCCCCTGCCCACAGCGTGCAGGACGGGGTGCTGCGGTAAGGATGGGGGATGCGGGGTGGTGGGCACCTGTCCCTTGCAGCATCCCACACCCCAGCTGTGTCCCCACAGGCTGCCCCAGCTGGCGTGGGGGGCGCAGGGGGTCTATGTGTGCCGGGCCATCGCTCCAGGAGGACACGCAGAGGACAGGGCCACCCTCACCATCCAGGGTAGGAGCAGCCCCCACACCTGGGGGACATGGGCACCCCCCAACCTGACCCCTCCAATGTGGACACCCTGGGAACCTCATCCCTCAAACCCAGGGGCACCCCCTGGCATGACCCCCATGAACACCAGTACCCCAGGACCCCCATCCTTCAAAAGCAGGGGCACCCCCTGACCTGACCTTCGCCAATGTGGACACCCTGGAAATCCCACCCCCCAAACCTACGGGCACCCACTGTCCCTTCCACCATGACCATGGCCCTCATCTCCACCCATGCCCCCTCAGCACCCTGGTACCCCTCATCTCTCCCAATGCCCATGAGCACCCCAAGACTCTCAGTCTCTCCTTACACCAATGAAGACCCTGGTACCCCCAACCTCTCACCATGCCCATGGGCACCCCAACACCCCCAACCTTTCACCATGCCCATAGTCACCCCACTTTCCCAAACTTCTCCCCATACCCAAGGGCACCCCAACACCCTAATTTCTCCCCATGCCCACAGACACCCCAATAGTTTCCCCATGCCCTTGAGCACCCAATTTCTCCCTCACTCCTGAACCTCACACCCTGGACCATGATGTCTCCCCCATGCCATGGGGGGACCCCAAAACCTTGTTGTCCCCCCCAAGCTCTCCCCAAGGCTGTGATCAACATCCGGACAGCGGTGCAGACGGTGCTGGCAGGGACAGAGGTGGAGCTGGAGTGCCTGGGCTTGGGTGAACCCCGTCCCCATGTCACCTGGAGCAAAGTGGGTGGTCAGATCCGTCCCGGGGTGCTGGTCCGTGCTGGAACCCTCACCATCCAGCGGGTGGAACGGGCGGACGCCGGGCAGTACCGCTGCACTGCCACCAACGCCGTGGGCACCGTCCAGTCCCACCTCATCCTCCACGTGCAAGGTGGGGATAGGGACAGGGAGGGCTGGGGACACATGTGGTGTCAGGTCCTGCACCTGGGTCACCACAACCCCAGGCAGTGCTCCAGGCTTGGAGCACAGTGGCTGGAAAGTGCCTGATGGAAAAGGAGCTGGAGGTGTTGGTCTGGACATGAGCCAGTGTGTGTACCCAAGTGGCCAAGAGGCCACGAGCATCTTGACTGGTGTCAGCACTGGTGTGGCCAGCAGGCCCAGGGCAGGGATTGTCCCCCTCTGCTGAGCACTAGTGGAGCCACCTCAAATCCTGGGGTCAGTTCTGGGCCCCTCAGGACAAGAAGGACGTGGAGGGGCTGAAGCGTGTCCAGGGAAGGGCAAGGGAGCTGGGGAAGGGGCTGGAGCACAAGTGTGAGCAGGAGCAGCTGAGGGAGCTGGGGGTGTCCAGCCTGGAGACAAGGAGGTGAGGGGAGACCTGCTGGCTCTGCAGCTGTCTGAGAGGAGGTTGGAGCCAGGGGGGTCGGGCTCTGCTCCCCAGGAACAAGGGATGGGACAAGAGGAAATGGCCTCAAGTTGTGCCAGGGGAGGTTTGGATCTGGGGAACAATTTCTCCCTGGCAAGGGTTGTCAGGGCCTGGCCCAGGCTGCCCAGGGCAGGGGGGGAGTCCCCATCCCTGGAGGGGTTTCCAAACCCTGGAGATGGTGCTGAGGGACATGGGGCAGCCTCATTAGAGTTGGGTTCATGGTTGAACTCAGTGACCTTCAAGGTCTTTTCCAACCAGCCCCACCCTGTGCCTCTGTCCCCAGCCGCCCCCCAGATCTCAGGGCAGCCGGAGGTGAAGGAAGTGTCCTTGGGCTCCGCCGCCGTTTTACCCTGCTTGGCATCGGGCTTCCCCGTGCCAGAGATCACCTGGAGCAAGGTGAGGTGATGGGATGCAGGGATGGGGGTTTCGGGTGTTGCAGGGGAGGGGGCACCCAATGGGTGCTGACCCCCCTGCTCCACTCAGCTGGAGGGGGAGCTGCCAGAGGGGGCCCGGGTGGAGGGGAACATCCTGACCTTGCCGGCCGTGAGCCACGAGGACGCCGGCGTCTACGTCTGCGCCGCTGCCAACCCGCGGGGCCGGGAAACCGCCTACTATGTCCTGAGGGTGCGAGGTGAGGACGGACAGGTGGACAGGGTGGTGGTGGGGGGTGCTGTACCCCAACACCCCTCCTCCTGATCCCACCCCACCCACAGAGCACCTGGTCCCCTACTTCGGGCAGACGCCCCACTCCTTCCTGCCCCTGCCCACCATCAAGGATGCCTACAAGTGGTTTGAGATCCTCATCACCTTCCGACCTGATGCTGCTGATGGTGAGCGTGTGTCCCAGCGTGTCCTCATCTGTCCCAGCATGTCCCCAGGTGTCCCAGTGTGTCCCCGTGTTGTCCTAGTGTGGCCCAGTATGTCCCTATGTGTCCCTGTGTGTCCCCATGTCCTCTCCATTCTTCCCTCCATCCCTTCTCCTTCCTCTCCTCTATTCAACCACCCCCTTCCACCTTCTGGGGGGAGAGATTTCTCCTCCATCCTTGGGTACTTTGGGGTGATACCTGTAGCATGACCCCCACTCTGAGGTGCCCACTCCTCCACTCTCACCCCTCAGGCCTTCTCCTCTACAACGGGCAGCGCAAAAACAACGGCGCCGACTTCATCTCCTTTGGCTTGGTGGGCGGGCGCCCCGAATTCCGGTGAGACCCAGGAGCTGGGGGCTCCGAGGGGGGTGAAGGGGAGGTGAGAGATGGTTGCCAGCACCCTCCTACACCCGTTGTCACCCCCTCCCCTCCCCAACAACACCCAGGTTTGACGCGGGCTCGGGCATGGCCACCATCCGGCACCCCACGGCGCTGCGCTTGGGCGAGTACCACACGGTGCGGCTGCGGCGCAACCTCACCCGGGGGTCCCTGGAGCTGGACGGGCACCCCCCGGTCAATGGCACCTCCCAGGTAATTTCTTTTCTAAGGTGGGGGGTGTTTCTTGCTTGGGTGGGGGTGCTGGAGGGGGTGCTCACCTGCCTGTGCCTGCAGGGGAAGTTCCAGGGGCTGGATCTGGATGAGAAGCTCTACCTGGGGGGTTACCCCGACCTCAGCGCCCTGGCCAAGACGGGGCTCAGCCGTGGGTTCATGGGTGAGTGGGGCTGGGGTTTTTTTTTAGGGGGTGGGAGGGTGTGGGGGAGATGGGCAGGGTGTCACACTATCCCCTCACCCCCCCATCTCCATCCCACCCCAGGCTGTGTACGCCAGCTGCGCATCCAAGGGGAGGAGGTGGCCTTTGGGGACATGGACCTGCAGGCGCACGGTGTCTCCAGCTGTCCCACCTGCCAGGACCGCCCGTGCCAGGTGAGGATGAGGAAGGGGGTGATGGCCACCCATCGCCACTTATCCCCACCTGTTGCTGACACCCATGTCACCCACCCCCCAGAATGGAGGCGTGTGCCAGGACGCCGAGAGTGGCACCTACATCTGCCGCTGTCCCCACGGCTTCACCGGCAGCAACTGCGAGTACTCACAGGCTCTGCATTGTCACCCGGGTATGGTGCCACCCCCGGGCATGTTCCCTCCCCCCAGCTGTCCCTTCCTGGAACACCCACCACCCTGGGTGGGTGCTCATGGCTTGTCACCCTGCAGAGGCATGTGGGCCTGATGCTACCTGTGTCAACCGGCCGGACGGGCAGGGCTACACCTGCCGCTGCCACCTGGGCAAGTCTGGGGAGAGATGCACTGAGGGTGAGTGGGGACGTGGGGACGTGGGGACATGGGGACAGGGCTGGCACCACCCTGGGGACATTAGCATGGGATGGGGATTGCCCCAGGGAAGTGGGCATGGGGCTGGGAACACCCTGAGGGCATGGCTGGGGCCACCATGGGGACATGAGGATGGGGTGGGGACCACCCTGGGGAGATGGGGACATGTCTAGGATCACCCTGGGGACAGGGGGGATATGGCTGGGGCCACCCTGGGGACATGGGCATGGAGTGGGGACCCTGTCATGATGGGGAAATGGATATCATGGGCATCATGGAGATGGGCCATTGGGTGCCACCACAGGGAGATGGGCACCATGGGGATGGGGATTTGGGGACCGACATGGGGACACAGGCTGGACACCATGCTGGGGAGATGGGCATGGCTCTGGGTACTACCCTGCAGAGATGAGCACCATGGGCATGGATGTTTGAGTCCCACCATGGGGATGGAGGATGGGTCCCACCATGGGGGTGGAGATTGGGGTCCCACCGGCCGGGCACTGACGGGGCTGTGGCAGGTGAGGCGGTGAC